TAACTTCTTCGATTGGTCCAGTGGTTGAATTTCGAGATTCGATCAAGGATGACTTTATTCTTCGTTCTTGAATAGACGTTAAATCCTCATGAGCATTAGGATAAATACATTCGACACGGTTAGCCTAAAGGTAAAAGTGACAAAAAAAAAGAAAAACAACACTTCTTTCAACCATATTCCCTAGAAAGTCTTTATCAGAACCTGGGCAAACATATCGCTGGTGTTGTTGCCTCTTTCTATACGTATTATTCCTAAAATATAATCAGAATTCAGAGTCATTTCTTTTTTTTTAATCTACCATATAAATATCCAAGTAAGTAATAAAGATAAGAAGAAATATTCTCGCTTTTAGTACCTAATAAAATCATCTATCAGTTGAGGACACTTCTTATTCAGTGGTTCATGTGAAATATTATTGTTTATTTGCTCTATTAGTCATTCTAAAATTGACTGACTATAGCAGAGATGCAGAATCAGCCGTAAAAAATGGAACATTTTTCTGAATGGGAACATAACTCGAACAATTTTTAAAAAGTCAATGATATCGAGTAAACATGCCCTAAAGAATTAGTTTCAAAAAAGGTGCAGATGTCTATGTGAGTAGGTTGACTTGTGTTGGGTATTAGAGCAGCGAACAATTCGACCAATCTCTCGTCGAATCTACTTCTACGCTCAAAATAAAGAAAGTTTTTATGAATGATGCTTTATGGGTGGGGTGTGGGCAGATGTAGATGGGTATGGGTGTGAGTGTGGATGTTGATGGATGTGCATAAAGACAGTCGCACCCATCCACCCACAGCCACCCACGTCAAAAGTAAATGCTGTGTGTAGGTGTAAGTATGATTACGTCGAAGTTCAGTTGTTATGAACTGTCTCAGGAATGAACAAGTATTAGAATAAGCATATAATTGGCATCAGTAAATTTTATTTAGATAAAATTATTCTGAACCTAAAGTAGCCTTCTTTTTGCTTTCATTTCTTTAAAATATATGTTTAAAAAAGGGCTTTTTCACGTCGATAACGATAGAAATTTGTGAAAAATTTTTCATTTTAAGGATAGATTCTGCACTTCTATTTAAAATTTTCAAACAACGTATAGAAGATCATGGCATGCATCACATAATATATTTCCAATGAATTACTCATTGCCTTGTATTCTCTTTCGGAAGGCAAGATAATACTTTATACTGTGTACTTTAAATAATATCAGTCATTTCAACAAAGGCAAACATTTGATAAGCTTCTTTTTCTAACAATCACGTGCAGTTTAGAAATATTCTTATTATTTCTTCACATTTATATTTACTTGCAAAATCCACACAACCACAATACGACTTCGAATTGCAAGTGTGTCTTTACTCTGTCAAGGTGAGAAAAAAAATTCTAAGTGAGGAATTTAATAGATGTTCTTAAGTTAAAGGGCATCCAATAATAATTGATAAAAAGTTGTTAATGATAGTTTTTATACTTTTTTTAATGACAGACACAGTCGTAATTTTTACCACATATATACGGAATTAAGATCGTTCATTTCTAAGAGTTTCAGTTCTCTAGCTGAAACTAATTGCGAAATTCATTGACTAGAGTAAAATACATCGTTTTTTTGTACTCGATGTTTGCAATATTTTCACAATATTGGCATTCATAATAGAGTTGTAATTGTCATTTTATCGATTGTTAATAAAAATCATTACTCAAGATATAAAATTATCACAGACACAGAGTACAGAAATTGATTTATTTTAGTCTCGTCATTGAATTTCGTTGTTCGTTTTAGTTAGAGAGCTGAAACTTAGAAATGAACGATCTTGATTGGATATATATGTAGTAAAAATATATCATTAACAATTTATTATTAGTTATTATGAAGCGCTCTTTACATTAAAAGGATTTCTTTTTTGTATAAATGTAACTTTTGAAAGTATTAATAAGATGAGTACTGCAAGATACGAGTATTTTGCGCCTCGTACTGTACCTTGCGAAAACATGTAGGCTCTCGTCCTACCATATTTTCGGAGACAGTGGCTGTAGAGTACTCTAGAGGGAGCCTTTATTATAAAGTGTTAGGGTGTGAGTGTCAGTGACCAGAGTAGTAGAATCCACATCCTATGTATTTTTCCATTTCAGAGTGTGTGTTCATCTATTGGTTCGCAGCCATTTTACATTCGATTTATGAAAAAATACCTTCTAACATTTTAATCATTGCATGAAAAATGTTAACCATGACGATTTTTGATAGAAGAGTTGCGTGCATGGATGATATTACGCTTTATTTAGGTTTTTCACATCAACAACCGCATCGTTTACATAGCAAGGACTCGTTTATATACGCAACTAAAATGAGAAGAAAGAGGTAGAGAACAATAGGACGAAAGATACATGCGTAAACAGGAAGAAGAATTATTAGAGAGAAGAAACGTTTGAACATCGTAACCATCAAAATATCCATTAACTCTAGTATCTAAATCTACTCAACGGGGAGCGTCACACTAGCAATGCTCAAGATCGCAGAAAGAATGCTACTTGATTATGTCCTCTTCCTAAACAGCTCAAAGACTTGATAAACAGTATAGAAATTTAGCCTGAGATGTTCTGGATAGGCATGCATCGAGTCCGAACTTCTCGGGGTTCGGTGTTCTCATGTATGCTTACTTCCGATACCTAAAACACTGTCGTTAGTTATTCTTGTGCTTTGGCCAACATTAGGCAACTAGCGAAGCCGGAAATGACTGAATCCCGGAAAGTTTGGTCTCGGTATTTCTAGTGTGCTCTCAGGTTCTCCTCATGTCTAAGTAATGACCCAACTAAATAAATAACTTAATTCAGCATTTTAGCTACCGGAAAACCGAACCCTGGAATATGCTGCGTATTCCCGGATAATGAGAGTGCTGGTGTGGGTTCATTCGAGACTTCGCCTTATGTTCATCCACACGCAGACCCTGATAAAGGTCGCTGCATTGGTGTACTCACCATTAAAATCGATAAAGCTCAGCTGACATTCAATCTACCCGATAACTATGAAAATCAAGTTATCTGAAGTGTTTACTCTTACTTTGGAACGATACAGCAAATTGTTATATGAGTTTTATTTGAGGATTATTAATGGTCTGTATTCGATAAAATTCTCGACCATAGACCAGGGAAGAATTTTGATCAATATCATACTATAAGACCATTTATTGAGTAGGCTCTACAATTAATGTACAAACAAAAGAAAGAATATTATCATTTTTTCGATGGCTTAAAAACAGTTTGACGTTTGACGACACGGATCAGCGTGCAAAAAGTCAATTTTAACAGAAATTGCAATGATGAATGGAATTAAATTAAATGATATAACAAGTAAACATATTTTAACATGGGTTACTTATAATACAATTCAAAAAAATGAAAATGATTTATATCCTGTCATGAAAGAGAAATTAAAATACGTGATTAAAAGTAGAGCACTACAATATCAGAAGAAAATATAAATTCCTATCAATTCTCTCATCATAGTATATGAAAGTGAAAGCTTGGATAACATAGAAAAGCTCTATGGTATTACTCCTCAGAAGCGAGATCCAAGAGATCTTTTAAGTCTTAACTTGAGTGCCTATATAAATAAATTTTACCCATATTTAGAAAGTGAACTAGAAACGGAAGGGCAATCTTTAGAACTGATTAATGAAATTGATGAAAAATGAAAAGAATTCTCAAAAGAATAAATCAAAAACTTCCAAAGCGGATATTAACTACTAATGCTGATTATGACGGTGATCAGGAAAATGAAAAATAGATCGAAGAAATGCAGCGTTCACAAGTTATTCCTGTAATAGAAAAAAAAACCCGTATGTGAAACTGAATGGCATTTTGATACGGTCTTTGAACAAAATTTTAAAGAGAATGGATTACGAGGAGTAAGTGATTGTCCAAAACGAAAAGAATTAAGAAAATGTTTTCAGTTTACCGATATTGACGATCTGAAAAATTCAAAATGGCATAGTAAAGTCTTTGCAACAGAAAATTTTATCAAAACAATTTTAGACGAAGATGAGAAGAATAAGCGATACCAAACTGATTATTTGAAACCGGTTAACATGATATTAATTCATAGAACAGATATTGAATTATGTTTTATTATAGTTTCTACCTATGAGGCTAAAAATCTTATTGCGTTATGTCATGAAAGAAATGACCCGAAAATAAGTGTAATACATATTGATGACGTGAATGATCCTACCATGATTCCAAAAAATGCTATTCAATTAAGAAAAGAAGAAATCAACAGTGGTATAACTGTTATTCGATTATTTAATGGAGATTGTCGTTATAATACAGAAGAAATTAATGTGATAAAAAAATGTGTTGCTTTTGTTGACAGAACTTGTCTTCATCAAAGCAAAACAATATCTGAACAAATTTATAGTGAACTTGAATCTAGACACTATATAGTAAACAGTTTTATGACTTATATATTAGCGTCTAAATTAATTGATCGAAACGAAAAAATCTTACTAGAAATAGAAATTAATTATGGAATTGATCTTCAAAGTTGGCTTCATTCAATTATCCATGAAAGTATTGCAGATGACGCTGAGAGTATTTGAAAATTACCTGGATTGATTAGACAGTTGGTTCGAATTAGAGGAAAAAGTGAACAGTATCAGAGGAGTGCACTAAAAGACATACTTGATATGAACCTAGAAAAAATATAATTTCTATGTTTCTAATATGTCTCAATTCAGCTTAGAAACAGCTTAGTTAAATGATTTATCGAAGCAGACAATCACGTCAATTTTAAATTATTTCTTTTATACTATACAAAACAAATTTTTTTTTTAAATATATGATTGATATATGAGAGTTTCAATCATATGAGTTATATTCTAATTTCATCGTGACAATTTTTACAGAAGCAGAATATGATTCATCATTCTTTGATAGTAGAAAACATGTTTCTACATGTTGTAGTACCACTCTAAGTTGTTTTCATTTTCATCAATATTTCACACTTATATTTTTGTTTTGCTTATTGTTTTTTTTTAATTATTTGCAATTTTCTTGTAACCTATGGAAATGCATCTATTTTTATTTGAATGTATTTTATTGAAAATTATTATTTATTTTTCTGTTCTCTTGTTGAATTCTTTCTTCACTAATCAAAAATCTTATATTAATCTTGCTATTTGTTTATTTTGATTATATTACGATCTTTATCTGTTATTTAATTTGTACCACTTCCAAAACAAGCTATTTTTTCTAAAACATCAGTATAAACATCCTCAAGAAATACAAATAACTCGTCTTGCCCTCGTTTTCTGAATGAGACATACGTAATGATAGAGTACGTGTTCTTCCTTCTTCGTTTTATTTTGAACTTTTTCTGTTGTACGAATGCTGAAATATAAAACCTTTGATGTTCTTGAATAAATATGCTCTGTTCGTGAGTATTACCAAATTCTTCATCAACAAGCACGAGTAAATATCAATCTGAGTATAGCTGTCGATGTGAACCTATCGTAGTCTCTCGCTCGAACGTCTAGAGTCACCCACATTCCACTTCCTCGTGTTCTCATTGTCTGGACTGAAATCATGTGTGTTGGAAAATTTTTCTTCACTTCTTTGTTATAAGACGGATGTGGGTATGGGTGTGGATCAACTCTGAGCAGTTACACCCATATCCACCCTCCACCCTTGCAAGAGATTTTCTGTCTTTCTAAAAACTCGCTCTTATTTTCCCATAATTTATTTTATAATTTATATGCAGTATAAGTTCGATAATTCAATAATATTAGGTACCTAGGTTTAATCATCGGCTTAAAGTAAGAATACATTTTTTATTGGATTTAAATCATCATCTCTACGACCAAAAGCGCTTCTAAGAGTCATTATTAAATGTATTGATTCAGTGCATGCCTAACAATGATTCTTGAGCAAGGTCGAAGACATACAGAATCTACCCGTGTGCGCTCACGTGCGTGAGGGGAAATTATTGGTTATATAATTTTTTTTAATACAGGAAATTAGGGAAAACGTTTTTCTTTTGTGGAAACTAGGGCACAAAGGTCTTGAGCAAGTTGTGTGATTTGTTTGCCAATAGAGAAAAGTGCAACTATTTTTTTTTGTTTCCGTTATCGTTCAATACAAGTCTCTTTTAACATGCATATATGCTATATCACAATTTGTTTCACTTTCTTTTCACAACAACCGTTCATTTCAGCATGATCTTTAGACATTGAAGTCATACTCCATTGGAATGCTCTTCCATTACATTTAGCTGACGCATTTCTTGAACATTCTTTAGAAGATTATTTCAAAAATAAGATGGACAAAAACTGATTATTTTATAAGAAAAATGCGCAATATCAAGCATGGAAACTTGTATGTTTGAGTTCAGCTGTGCTAAGTCATTTCTGAAATGAGCAAATTTCAAGGCTACCAGAATTACTCGATGAGTGATGAAACTCAATTGTTCTTTATATAAGGTTTGTTGAGTATGATAAAGGACAGGGGCGCATAAGAAGCCGATTTGGCCCATATAATATTTTCAGTCAATTTATTGCCCATCCTATGTGGAAAAATGTGGTAATCCTTTTGGTAATAAATAGAAGTCAAACTGTAAGGATTATAAGCTATTTTGAGGTAGAATACCTGCAAAAAAGTATTGAAGTTTCATTAAGCTCATAGTTGTCTAGTATTAGCTCAAAATATACGACTTTTAGGCAATGTTTCAAGCTCAATCTATATTTGTCAGAAAATTCATTTAATTCTGCATCGTTTCATGTAAGAACTAATCTTTTTTCATTAAAAATTTAATCATGGAAAATACTGTGCTTTCACAGGGGTATGCTTCGGTACCTCACATCCGAACAATAATTAGAACTGTTTGGCATGCTTTTACGTGTAAGCCAAGCTTTTTTATATGCCATTTGATAGAGCGAAGAAAGAGCTACAAAATAATACATAATTTATTTGATTGCAATATGGGCCACTATATCGAAAGTGTGCATGAATTGTTCTGGAGCATGAAAAGTACACTTTTCTGCTCATTATTGAGTAAATTTGATAAGAATAATTCGACTTTTGATAGATGAAAACGGCATA